AAGGGCCTTGGCATTCAAAGCTTTGAGACTTCAAGCTCCAAAGTCTCAAGCAACTCTGATTCTGTCTGGAGGTCGACGCAACAAGATTTCTTTTTCTTTCCCTAACACCGGCTCCGCGATCAAGTTTCGAAGAGGGAGAGGTCCATGGTAGCCACCGCTGAAAGAGTTTCAAGTATCTGGGAATAGCACAGGCCCCGTCTTCAGGGTTTAGGGTGCTCAGCAAGATGTCGAGGAGCATCCTCCCAACGACCTGAGCCTCCCCAAACAATTTTTCCAAAACTTGATTCAGGGGCGCCAAACTAGAAAAGCTGCGAACAAGGCCGGAATCAAGAACACACGCTTTACATGCTGGAGAACGTTTACAAAGCTAAACAGAAGTTAAGCTTCATTCGGTAACCTTCAAAAACCCCTGATCCCTCAAACCCTCGACCCTGGAAGCCTCGACAGGTACGGCGGACTCCAAAGGATTCGCATTTCGGAGCTGGCTTTCAAGAATCCACCTAGGCCGTAGATCCCACGCTGCATGAGCTCAGGATCCGCCTGGTGAATGCCTGGGTTTCGGTTTGAGGAAGTTCCCCTCCCAAAAGGATTCATAGCTAGGGTTGCGGGTCTGGTGCTTAAGGGTCTGTATGAGACCACAAGGAGAACAAAAACGTGTCCCAAGCTGGTACCTGGATGCAGACCACATCTAGAAAGCACATCTCGCGGCCGCAAGGCTGTGGCAGGTAGGGCGAGGCCAGGAATCCGAGGAGAGAGCCCACAAATCCACCAAGCCTTGCTGACAAGTTTCGGTGCCTCGGAAATGCAAAGAGCTCCAAAAGCACGGCAACTGCGCTACCCAGGAGCCAGCCGAGGACGAAGCAGTGGCAGCCAGACTGCACCATCAGGGCCCGGATCTTTTGCGATCCCGGGGTGTGCCACGTGTGGCTCAGGAAGATGTCCAACTTCTCCACACCCACAGACTTCTCCCACAAGGCCCCACGAGCGGCCTCTGGCAGATCTATCGGTGACTTTCGCCAGAGCCTTCCGAAACCTTGTAGAGACGAGTTTAGAGGAATCCCTCGGAGCAGTTCCGAATCGAGTCTCAGATGGCGAGATGGCTCATGCTCGGGTCCGTGTTCGTCAATCGGCGGCTCAGCCGTCCATTGCAGCTGACAGCCTGCCTTGCCGGCATTGCCTGCGTTGCCTGCATCGCCAAGGTTAACAGCCGACGGCTCTCCTTCTACCACTTCGATGGGCGGCACATCGCCGGAATCAGAACAGCAGCTGGGGGCTGCGCCCATTGAGATGGCTTACATGCCCTTTGTCTTAGACACCGGGCGTGGCCATTTCTGGAACTGAAATCTTACAATGCCCTTGGACCATCACGGCACATGTGCGTCATCCTTCCGGACCACCCGCCAAGCACTGAACACCTATAGCCGCAGCACATACGTAACGGCGCATAGCTGCGCAAACGTGACGCTTGCTTGAAATCTGGAAGCTAGCCGTTAGCCACTTTTTCAACCCAACTTCCTCTTGTCAAGCGCCCCGCAGCTTATGTAAACCCTACTTCCTGCCCCATGCCACACCCCAAAGACGGCCCTTTGATTCGGGGCACTACATGAAATCTACAACTCGAAGCCCCGGAAGCTCTGAGGTCAGCGGCTATCCTGCACTTCGAGAGGGTGGCGGCGCCTAAGGATTGAGAGTATAATGAATCCGAAACGTCAGCCGCGGCTGGGCGCTATCCCCTGCCTGCCTACGTAGCATTCTTTCGACTTGAGTAACGAGTTCGGATGCTGGGGAGATTGCGATCCCTGAGGTGGGTTGCGCCAGTTGTGACCTGAGGGCCGTGTCTGCAGACTATTTCTTGGGTTTCACCCTTTTGTGCAAACCCCGGGGCCTTAAGCATCTTTTGACCGCCCGCAAGTGCACCTAAGCCCTGAACACCCCAAACCCGAAACCCAAAAAACCCTCAATGTACCTTAGGGCTTAGGTGGTTGCGACTTCGGTGGGTTGGAGCCCGTGGGGATCCATCACCTCAAGCCCTCGGAGTGCGCGTGCGCGCACCAAACCATCTCCTCAGTGTGAAAACTCGTGAAGTCCTGAAACATGTTGGCGGTTTAGGTCTTTGCCACCCGCCAAACTGACACATGCATCCGCGTAGCTGGACACCATGGGTCACAAGAGTTATGTTAGACAGTCTAGGGTTGATATTTGTTGAGACCACTGCGCGAAGTGCTGTGAACCGCACCTCCCTATCATGCTCCCCCTTGCTCCTGGAGCCTCAAGTGGTCCATTTGGGCACCACATACCTGAGAAGGAAGCAGGCGACTGCTTGAGCAGCACAAACACTCAGGGCCACCTCGTGGCTCTCCCTCAGGATGAACTCTGTCTGCAGATTGCCATAGAGTCCAAAGCCGATCACCAACCAAATCAAGAGGGTCTTTCCGTAGTCCCAGATTCCGGCTGCAGGGCGTGCAAAAACATCACATAGCAATACGCCCAAACTCAAGAGGTTCATGCTCAGGAGAGAAGCTGCAACGACATGCGCAAGGAAGCTAATGTACGGATCCAAGCCTGGCGAGGCTTCTAAGCTAGTTAACCAATGATCCACTTCGGCGGAAAGCACGGGTGTCATAAGCATCAGCCAATACACAGCTGGAAATTCCGATTTCCGAAATGGAAAGACGAGCTCGTCGTACAGTGGGCCTCTTACATATTGCTCGAATGCCTCCTCACTGCCATACCATTCACGGATGCCGGCATATATGAAGTCTCTGTCACTTGTGACGCGACAGCTCACGTTTGCCAATTCAAAGCTTTTCATATTCTCGATGAGCTGGCGCTTTTGGTGGAACAGTCGGCGCAGCTTGTGCACGAGCGGGACAAAAGGAAGAATCAGCAGCGCCATCCATTGCCGCCAGGACCCAGTGTCCCCTGAGAGCCAGATGTGCATCTCATGAACCAGGGGGACCACATAATTCGCAAGGATCGCGTAGAGCAGGCCAACCTCCAAATACAGAGGCTTCAGAACAATGCGCCCTGACGGATTCGCCTTTCGGAATGCGGCGAGTTCGAAGATGCACCAGAGCCTGATGATGATTTTGTTCTGGTTCCAGGATTAGGGTTTCTGTTTGGAAACATGTTGGGGATCAGCCCCTCTGCCTACTAGGGTTTCCCAGGACCTGATGCGATCTCAGGGGGATTCATCTGGTTTGGGGTTTGAAATCAGGGCCTCCCAGATTCCTCCGGAATCTGAAGCTGAATTGAGTTCCGCATTCAAAGCTCTCGACTCTCGCACTTGCAGACGCAGGCATGGCCATAGGCATTCAAAGCTTTAAGACTTCACGCTCCGAAGTCTCAAGCCCCTCCAGGATTCGACACTGCAGCCCGAAGCAACTCAAAGTCTTGGAGGTCGAAGCAAAAAGATATCTTTTCCCTAACCCCCACACTATAGCTCGGCGCATGTTTCGAAGAGGGAGAGGTCCACGGTAGCCACTGCCCCGTCCGGGAATGGCTTCAAGCCATGGGCTTCCGGGTTTAGGGTGCTCCGGGCGCAGCCTCCCAAGGACTTGAGCCTCCCCCAAACGATCTTTTCCCAAACTTGATTCAGGGGCGCCAAAACCAGAAAAAAGAACAGCGAAGAAGGCCGGAATCAAGAACACATAGTGTTAACAAAACCAGAAGTCCGCCGAGGCCTGCATGTCGGCATATGTCGGCCCCCTTTTTCTTGCCTGAAATTTGTACCCCCCCCGAGGCGACCGGGATCTGAAAGCGGATGGGTCCCGCTAGAGAATCTGACAACCCCCACCCCTTGCCCCCACCCACCCCCCTCACCTTTGTTTTGGGTCCCAGTAGACAGTAGACATAACAAAGCTTATCCTCACAGCTTGCACTTCGTGAGCTACGTGACTGACAGGGACCACCACTTCGCCGATGCTGATGCTGGGCCATGGGTGCTAGCGTAAAGCAAAACTAGAACCCTTTGTCTGGCAGGCCTGTGTGGCGGACGGAGCACCACGCCCCCCCACCGGGGCGTGTGGTTGTGGGCATAGGTGGACGTTGAAGGTTCTAATTCCCCGACAGGCCTTGCCTTGCCCTGGCATGGGTCCCCCCCCCTCCCCCCCGTGCGACGTCGGCCCCCGCTCCGGGAGCTGCATTGGGCGGAGGCGGATCGCATAGCGTTAAAACTAAGCTTGGTTCGGTAGCCTTCGAAAACCCCTGATCCCTCAAACCCTCGACCCACGTAAATCCCTGGAAGCCTCGACAGGTACGGCGGACTCCAAAGGATTCGCATTTCGGAGCTGGCTTTCAAGAATCCACCTAGGCCGTAGATCCCACGCTGCATGAGCTCAGGATCCGCCTGGTGAATGCCTGGGTTTCGGTTTGAGGAAGTTCCCCTCCCAAAAGGATTCATAGCTAGGGTTGCGGGTCTGGTGCTTAAGGGTCTGTATGAGACCACAAGGAGAACAAAAACGTGTCCCAAGCTGGTACCTGGATGCAGACCACATCTAGAAAGCACATCTCGCGGCCGCAAGGCTGTGGCAGGTAGGGCGAGGCCAGGAATCCGAGGAGAGAGCCCACAAATCCACCAAGCCTTGCTGACAAGTTTCGGTGCCTCGGAAATGCAAAGAGCTCCAAAAGCACGGCAACTGCGCTACCCAGGAGCCAGCCGAGGACGAAGCAGTGGCAGCCAGACTGCACCATCAGGGCCCGGATCTTTTGCGATCCCGGGGTGTGCCACGTGTGGCTCAGGAAGATGTCCAACTTCTCCACACCCACAGACTTCTCCCACAAGGCCCCACGAGCGGCCTCTGGCAGATCTATCGGTGACTTTCGCCAGAGCCTTCCGAAACCTTGTAGAGACGAGTTTAGAGGAATCCCTCGGAGCAGTTCCGAATCCAGTCTCAGATGGCGAGATGGCTCATGCTCGGGTCCGTGTTCGTCAATCGGCGGCTCAGCCGTCCATTGCAGCTGACAGCCTGCCTTGCCGGCATTGCCTGCGTTGCCTGCATCGCCAAGGTTAACAGCCGACGGCTCTCCTTCTACCACTTCGATGGGCGGCACATCGCCGGAATCAGAACAGCAGCTGGGGGCTGCGCCCATTGAGATGGCTTACATGCCCTTTGTCTTAGACACCGGGCGTGGCCATTTCTGGAACTGAAATCTTACAATGCCCTTGGACCATCACGGCACATGTGCGTCATCCTTCCGGACCACCCGCCAAGCACTGAACACCTATAGCCGCAGCACATACGTAACGGCGCATAGCTGCGCAAACGTGACACTTGCTTGAAATCTGGAAGCTAGCCGTTAGCCACTTTTTCAACCCAACTTCCTCTTGTCAAGCGCCCCACAGCTTATGTAAACCCTACTTCCTGCCCCATGCCACACCCCAAAGACGGTTCTTTGATTCGGGGCACGACATGTGAATCTCGTCAGCGAAGACGTGAGCGACCCTTGCAGCCCCTGGTCTTAAGGCTCAAGGACCCTAAGCCCACAAGCCTTGAAATCTACAACTCGAAGCCCCGGAAGCTCTGCGGCTGTCCTGGGCTCCGAGAGGGGTGACCACGACTTTCTTTTCAAGATAATTGCGTCTGTATTGTTTCGGTTCACTTGCATTACAATGCTTTAGGTTATCTGCTACTTGCGGTTTTTAACCTGGCGTCCTCCGGAACATTTCGTGGTTTTCTGCATTAGCTGCGCGTTATCACTTTTCGTGGTGATCTTGACTGGTTGCTTATTCCGGGTCATTCACCACATGTTGCAAATCCTGCATCCGGACGTGCAGTATTGCAGAAGATCTATGCTTCCCTACGAGCGACCCTGTGTTGCCAAATGTGAGGACCTTTTGGGACCTTTTGGTGCATCACGAGCAGTTTTTCGCATCCGAGCCTCGGGCCTCCAGCCGAGGATTCGGTTCGAATGCAAGTCGAAGGACCGAGAGCTGCACATTGAGAAGGAAGGGCGAGATCTAGAAGTCATGAAAGGAACGGAGCAAGCGAGTTGCCCAAGATGCCAGAGCCCTGAGCGGACAATAGTTCGGTGGCCTTGCTGGAGAGAATGTATGAGGCCGGACAGCTCGTTGGTTCACTGGCCGACCGGGTTTCTTCGTGATGGGATGCGAATTTTCAACTGGCTAGGAGACGCTGCAGAAGCTGAAGGCCAAGGACGATTGGAGGTTGAGGCCAGCAACTTGCATTCTTTGTGCCGGGTTCGGGTTTGAAGTGGGGACCTGGCTAGAAATTGTCTGTTTTGATTTGGGGCTTCCTATTTTTTTGTACATCCAGAGCTCTTGCCGGGCATCTGTCGCAACACATGTGGCTATGCAGGTACTGCGAGAACACCAGCCAAGCGGCGGGAACCTAAGAAAACTGCTTCTCCTAGCGACTTGCTTCCAATCGGCCTGCTGCAGTCCCTGTATATCCGGAACGTATGCGCAATATTCGCGGCTTCCAGCCGAGCAGCGTCTAGAACAAGCACCGCACTCCCCTTGAACCCCACCCCCCCTCCCTTTAGGACCGCTGCGCGCTCTACACGAGAAAGAAAAAAGAGAGAGAAAAAGAAGGAGAGAAAGAGAAAAAATAGAAAAAAGAGAAAAAGTTAAACTGATTTTAAAATTGTTGAATATGGAATAGATTCACTATCATTGAATAACATGAATGAAAAATAGCAACAATGAAAGTTTTTTTATCAATTAAACTGACAAATAAAATGAAGTTGCTGCTATTCGCCTCGGCTTCCTGCCGAGAAGCGTCTGGAACAAGCAGACCCGGATCGGGCCTCCTTCTCCCTAACCCAACCCTTCCACCCATGCAAAATTTTCTGACGGCCCCTTTTTTTGGACCCCCCCCCCCCCGATGACTTGGGACCCCCTGGAACCCCTCCTGGGACCCCTGGAACCTCCCCCAACCTTCACTCTTTGGGGGCCTTGAGAGCCTGGAACCCTCCCCTTTTTTTGAAGCCTTTCCCAGAAACCCTCTTTCCCCCTTTCCTGTCCGTGGGCCGGCCCGGCTGCCGAGGCGGCGCGCGCAAGCGTTTACAATTCGAATGAACTCACTCACAGTCATGAAAATGAACAGAGATGAATGAAAGAACATTCAGAATGAAACAGAAATATTAAATTAGTTGAAATTATCGCTACTCAAAAAGATGTAAATTTAAGGAACCTTAAAAGTCTTGAAACTGATTACAGTTAGTTAGACTTAATTGAAATTAACTAAGTCACGTAAAATTAATGAAATTTACTTGAAATTAGTTCAAAGTAAAAATAATTGAAACAAATTTAGAAAAAACACACGCAATCAAAACTAATTACAACTAAGCAAAGTTAAGCAAAAAAAGTATGCAGTTGATTAAAATTGACTCAAGCTGCTTAACCTTTCTTAAAGCTACTCAAACTTCACCTCTGCAAATTCAACTATGTTGTAAGAAGAAATTAAACTTAATGAAAAGTTGATAAAACTGATCAAGTTACACTTTCGTAAAAACCAATAAATACATAACAGAATGGATTACACCTTATGAAATTCACTGACATTCATTAGCATTTTTCATTAACGAAAATTGATTTGAGTTAGTAAATATGCATGAAAAATAATTGCCATTAATCGAAAATCATTAAAGCAATAAAATTAAGTAAAAATGACTGAAAGTCATGAAAAGAAATATGATTAACACAAAGTCAACTGAATGAACGCGGATTATTAACACTAAATATGCTTAAACAAAATAACAAAAAACTAGCTGAGATTGTACTAAAGAAAGCATTAACTCTAATTTAGTCACTAATTTACTAACATTAATCATTAATCAACATGATGTAAAAACACATTTAACTGAACAATGAAAATGAGTTAAAATTAATTCGCCCTTCTCAAAACTGATTCAAATCAACGAGAAGTATTTAGAATTAATTAAACGTACTCACAATTACAAAAAAATCAAAAACTCAGTATAACTAACGGAAAGTAACAAAACAAATTGGAACTCACTGAAATTATTTGACATTTATATAAACAGAAAAGTACATCGCCGTACCACATGGCCTGCGCATGGGCACCAACACACGGCAGCAAGCTCCGTGCCCGGTTCCAAGGCCTTGGATGTGCGCCGGCACGGTATTGGCCATGCCCCATACGGTCGCAACGCCATTTTTTAAGCCCTTAGAAGCTCCAGGCCACGGCCTTCTTCATGACCGTGAAGCTGTGAAACAGTTTCAGGTCCGTAGCCCATTTTGGCCCAGAACAAGCTGGTTCCTTGGCTGAAGCGCGCAAGCAAATAAAACCTAACTTCCGGAACCTTCTTTGAAACAAAGGGCAAGAAGGGCGGTAGCGTGGCCGCCCTGGTAGACTTCTTGCTCCACTGCTTGGGCAAGTCGTTTTCCGTGCCCTTGCCCCTCGAACACGCGGCCCACGCGCAGCTTGATGATGGTGTCCCCGGCGAAGTAGGCTGCGCCAATCGCGCGCCCATCGTGAGTGCGATAGCACATCACGGTCGCGGCAGAGGCCTCTTCGAGCATGTTGGTCTGACAGAGCTCTGCTTCCAGCATCTCCAGCAAAACAACCAACAACCAAAAAAAGCAAAGCATAGTATGCAGTTGATTAAAATTGACTAAAGCTGCTTAACCTTTCTTAAAGCTACTCAAACTTCACTGAGCATCTGTAAATTTAACTATGCTGTAAGAAGAAATTAAACTTCATGAGAAGTTGATAAAACTGATCACATTACACTTTGGAAAAAACCAATAAATATATAACCGAATGGATTACACCTTATCATAATTCACTGACATTCATTAGCATTTTTCATTAACGAAAATTGATTTGAGTTAGTAAATATGCATGAAAAATAATTGCCATAAATTAAAAATCATTAAAGCAATAAAATTAAGTAAATATGACTGAAAGTCACGAAAAGAAAGATGATTAACACAAAGTCAACTGAATGAACGCGGATTATTAACACTAAATATGCTTAAACAAAATAACAAAAATCTAGCTGAGATTGTACTAAAGAAAGTATTAACTCTAATTTATTCACTAATTTACTAACATTAATCAACATGATGTAAAAACACATTTAACTGAACAATGAAAAAGAGTTAAAATTAATTCACCCTTCTCAAAACTGATTCAAATCAACGAGAAGTATTTAGAATTAATTAAACGTACTCACAATTACAAAAAAATCAAAAACTCAGTATAACTAACGGAAAGTAACAAAACAAATTGGAACTCACTGAAATTATTTGACATATATATAAACAGAAAAGTACATCGCCGTACCACATGGCCTGCGCATGGGCACCAACACACGGCAGCAAGCTCCGTGCCCGGTTCCAAGGGCTTGGGTGTGCGCCGGCACGGTATTGGCCATGCCCCATACGGTCGCAAAGCCATTTTTAAAGCCCTTAGAAGCTCCAGGCCACGGCTTTCTTCATGACCGTGAAGCTGTGAAACAGTTTCGGGTCCGTAGCCCATTTTGGCCTAGAACAAGCTGGTTCCTTGGCTGAAGCGCGCAGCAAATAAAACCTTTTACAACCAGGTCTGCACAGCTGCCGGGAAAGTCAGGCTCACACAACCAGCTAGCAAATAAAACCTAACTTCCGGAACCTTCTTTGAAACAAAGGGCAAGAAGGGCGGTAGTGTGGCCGCCCTGGTAGACTTCTTGCTCCACTGCGTGGGCAAGTCGTTTTCCGTGCCCTTGCCCCTCGAACTCGCGGCCCACGCGCAGCTTGATGATGGTGTCCCCGGCGAAGTAGGCTGCGCCAATCGCGCGCCCATCGTGAGTGCGATAGCACATCACGGTCGCGGCAGAGGCCTCTTCGAGCATGTTGGTCTGACAGAGCTCTGCTTCCAGCATCTCCAGCAAAACAACCAACAACCAAAAAAAGCAAAGCATAGTATGCAGTTGATTAAAATTGACTAAAGCTGCTTAACCTTTCTTAAAGCTACTCAAACTTCATTGAGCATCTGTAAATTTAACTATGCTGTAAGAAGAAATTAAACTTCAT